CCTAGTTGGATGCACAGCAGCCACATATACAGTGTTACAGACATGTCTTCATTGACTTTAATTAACTAGTAAGATGGCAAGTGCACCAGTTTTGGCCCATGCTACCCAAAGCAAACCCTAGGGCTGCAGGTACCTGTTGGAAATAATTCTGACAAGTCACAACATGTTTGGAGCACTATAGCTTCTCCTGTAGACTTCCAATCAATGTGCACTCTGTTGCCTACCGCTTGTTATTGCATAACAAACAATCCTAACATTTCCCGGAACTCCTCTAAGTTCCCTTCCCACTGAAGGTAGGGTAATGCTGTCCTAAAAGTAGAGTAAGTATGTCCATGGTGACATGAAACTGGTCTCCATGGTAGGGTAATGTGACTCTTCTGAACAGGGTAAACTCTCCTGGTCTTCCAGCCTATCCTTAGAATGGAGTCAACATAGTTACATTTTCTTCCACTACTTAGGTACGCCTATTTCTTGAGTACCTTCTGTTCTTAAGGATGTTCTGACTATTAGATATCCCTCAGACATACTCCTGCATGCCCATCTAGCCCACCATGGGCCCTCTTGATCTTATATATGGGTGTAAACATAGGTTGTCATAGCTCTATAATGTAGGGTCATTACACATTGACCCTTGGTAACCAGAGGTTATCAATAAAGTATTAGGAAGTAGGTAACACTAAAGACAACCAAGTATACACTAGGCCTATCATGCCTCTGTCTTGGAAATAGTAAAAAAGGCTTATAAGATAGAAGTTTTTTAGGGTAGAATAAATATTTTAATTCGATTTCTTCTCCAGTTACTGATGATACCTTAATATTTACATTCCATATCCACGTAGTTATGGAGTATCTCAAATCTCTTACAAACTTGATCTATGTACTAGCTATACTAAAGATTTAGTAGTCTAGCAGTATAACCTTCTTTTGATCCTATGAACTAACTACTCTAATCTCATCCCATGTGGATTAATCAGCTCCATCAATGAACTTATTATTATATTCTTATAGGTATAACTTAGATTATATGATAGAAATAACTCTCTCTACCAACTAGTAGTTTATTTATTATTGTTAATCAATTATAAATGAGTCTTTAGATGACTCTTGTTCCTATGCGAAATAAGGTCCTAAATGTTCCTTGTTCTATTTTCAAGAGTCATGGTACAAAGACTTACAGATCTTATAGTATTATAACTATCTTACCAATCTGATCCAACTACATCTCATCTTATACAGTAGAGCTCCTTCTATGTTACCTAACTTGAATACAAACTCCTTGCTTATATATTCTATATCTCTATAGAATGGGCTGTACAAATACCTTATCATTTGGTATAATAATTTTCTATAATCATGATAACTATGTAGGGGCCTGAAATTGAACATGTAACCATATACATTTAGTCATGTATGGTTCTGGAGGACAAGAGTTGGGACCAGTTTTCTCACAAAAGCTGTGACAGTTATGAATGCAACGGTAACTCTAATGCAGATATTAATAGGTAGGCTAATTAAAGAAACTGGTTTTTTCCCTGTGTTTTAGATTTTTCTTGGCAAAACAAAATATGTTACAAGAAGCATAAACATAAGCATTACAGTTGCCATTACATCCATAACTGTTACACTTTTTGTAAGAAAAGTGGTCCTAACTCTTGTCTTCCAGAACTATACCATACTGATTACACTTCTATGTGTAATTCTATGCAACTACAACTACTTAGAATGAACTAAAAATTTAGTTAGATATCTATTAAATATAACAAAAACCCTATATGGAATTGTAAAGAAAAAACTTTAGTATTTTATATACTATCTTTTTACATCTACAACAGCAGCTACTCTACTAGATGTTGATTCTTATAAGCTTTCTACCAATTCTCTATTAATATCCTGGGTCTACACCATATTAAGAGCTTCTGCTAGATACCTTTCAATTGTATCAACTAGTAGATCCTTCTTAGTCTTGTGAATATTGAAACAGTTCTAGTGTAGCTTTTTCTTTACTCTTTTCCAATAGTACTTAATAAGACTCAGGTCTGAAGAATTAAGTAGCTATTCTATAACTATATGCAGTTTTATATAAACCAACCTATCTTGTCCCTTGTAGTATGCATCTTTATACCATTCTGCTGAAATATATGATCCCCCCCAACTGTGTCTTCTACCTTCTTCCAGATATCAACTAAGCTGTCTTTTAAAACTCTAATATATACAAAACTATCCATACTCCTATCAAAAATAGAAAACTGAAGACTCTTCTTTTTTTCTCAAATATCACTCTAAGCTATCAGTTTTCTCCCTGCACCTTTTGTAACTTCTTAAATACAATCTTTATACTACTTTTCTCTAGGTATTCTGAACACCCAAATGTCTTTAAATTCTTTAAACTTTTTATCATATATTCATTACTAAGTATAATATCTTTAAAGTCTTTTCTTTATCTAACTCTTATACTCCTTTGCCCAGATTAATCTCTTGATAGCTTGTTTATCCTTTAAAAATAGTGTTTTTCTTACTCTCAAGTTCTTTATATTGACTAAAGCTAATACTCTCTTGATTATCTTAGTAGAGGTATAGAGTGCAATATCATTATATAATTCTGATAAATTTTAGTATTGTGCCTTCTTGAACTCTTTACCCAGGTAATGGCAGATTCTGGTATTAATAATTTTGGGTCTTTCTATAAATAAGAGGTTTTTTGCATCATATCTCTTTTCATACCAGTTGCAAAAGTATTGAACTATACTCTAAAAGTGATGTAAGAACTGTCCAATCTCAGTAAAAGCAATATTTTTCTCCCTTCAAGTAGCAATTTATCCTCGCTCAAGGTCTGTGAGGTAGCCTGTCTTTTCTGGAGGAATGGTTGTTAAGGATGATTGGTTGAGGTGGTGAGTTTTTTTGAGGTGTTGCCCAGTAACTACCAATTAGACAATCCCTTTTGTCCTCGAACTTTATCATGCAGATACTGGTACAAGTGCAGATACTAGGCACCCGAGTGGACACCCCTGCCCAAGGAGGCACCTATGGCTTTAGTTATATCACTTTGTTATTCAAAACTCACAAGCCTGCCATCATCCTCGAGGACTTGAGTAGTTGCGTGCATGCGGGCATGCATAAGCACCTTGCGGGATCGTTCCCCCTCATCAGATCCCCTACGAATAAGGGCCGATCACGCCGACAAAGTTGCCTTTGGAGGAAAGGAACCTCGCTACAGGGGCAGTTTTGTGAGGGGGGCGATACCGTGTTGTTCAAAGCGCTGTAACCTAAAAGAAGGTGTGTATACTCTTGAACAGTTGGTTTGGTAAATGAAGATGTGAGTGACGCCCCATGAACGTGTAACGGATGTTACCATACTCTAGGGTCTATTGGAGGGAGCTCCCGGCCGACAGCCGGGAGGGATCCTAGCGTCGCACCAAGACATAGGGCTAAGTTCCGATGAAAGTACGAGTACGAGTACTGTAACTTAATCCACAGGCTCAAAAAAAAAAACAATCAAGAAAGCCACAAGAACACACGCCAGAACCGTACTCCACAGTATAGTATCTCTTCAAATTGAGTTGCCTCCATACAATGTTCTACACCCCATCTCAAGCTAAAAGATCCCCATAACCTAGTTTTGAATAAAAAGGGGATAGGAAGATCGTGTTAGATCCCCTCAGGCAACCCCAGCCCTTGTTAACCCGCGATTGCTTGGGTGCTTCGGGCGATCAAACCTTGCCAAGGTCCTACTCAACTTGACGAGTTAATATGGGTACGGTACTCGAGAAGGAGGGAATTCAGACGGCAAGACTGCAATTGGGTTACATTTTAGACCTTTGGACTCGATGCTGATGGCTCGCTCCCGTGCTCTGGATCAAAGTTAAATTTATCTAATACTCACATCCTAATTGATAGGAAGCGAGACCTCCGCCTGGCCGCATCCAATGAATATGATGGGATCCCGCTTCCATGCGAGATCCCGCTCCTATGACCAAATTTGTGTGCCGTAAGCATCCGGATAGAAGATAATGTGTTATAATCGGACGTTGGAATTCCCCGAAAACTGCGCAGAGTCAGCCCCTCAGTTAAGGCAAAACAAAAGTAATATACACAACGCCTTGGTGGGTGGGGCAACTGCGACGCCTTAAAACTTATCCTCCACCCGGGGGGGAGTTTTTTTCCCTACGCTAATAGGAATGGTAAAGCCTAATACAAGTAAGTATCCGGTTCAACGGGTTTCACTGGAATTTGCTTTTCTTTTCTACTTGTACATAGTACTTGTTCAAGTGCCAGGGATAATGTTTTCGCACAGTTAATTTAACTCAACCCGCAAAATAATCCCTGTCTTGGGATACGACTTGTAGTTAGTTTAATAGCTGCGAATATTATGGAATTAACCTGTCTTGTACGAAAACATCTCCCCTGGCACTTGAAACATTCTGCCTAGTAGCCGGGTGATGATTTGGGAGACTGCCGCGTTAATCCTGCGCCAAGATGAGGGGGTTCGAATACCAACGCTCCACTTTCGTACTTGCGCCATCGTGCGAGTGTTTTTGATCCAAATTCGCATGGAGCCCTCCCATTGGCCGACCCAGGTCCTGGGTCTGCCCCGCGATTGGCCGAGCAGTTGGGACTGAATACGAGTGCAGGATGGTGCTCAGGTATGGTACCACACCCGTGCTGGACCGTGCTGTGCGAGTGGTCGCACGAACACTCACAATGCAAGCCACGCATGGCGGCGACACCTCCTACAGCTTGCTCAACTTCTGGCTACGAGCCCCAAGCTCGGCATTCTGCAGACAGGGGGATATCGCCCTGGGCTGTTCGAGTACTGCCGATCTACAAGTCCCCTATCAGTCGGCGTTCCCATTCCGAGAACAGCAACCTAGCTAGTCCCGGGGCCAGTGGGCCCCGAACAGGGCCGGTGGTAGCTTTGGCTGCCCCCGGGCTAAGAGGCGATATGGACCATGGCAATTTCTCGACAATATCCTGATCACTCAGCAGTCAATTCTCCAGATTTTCTCGCATAATTAACTTCTTCAATTATCATCATGAGTTATGATGTACTAGTAAAGGCGCCAGCATACGGCAGAGAAAGGAAGGAGGAAAAACATAAATATAAATGCTCCATGATCACAACGCTCTTGTATGGGAATATTATTGACGCAGGAAAAGAGATCCGTTCCCCCATTTAACAAAAGCCGCAAGATTATGCCTAAACATTAACGCCCTTGCTCGCTGGAGCCCGGAGCATTGGCCCACAATTCGCAACTTCCTAGGTTCTGTACCAGTTATCCGCAGGATCTCCAAGACACTCGCCAACGGTGACAACTGTATCTTTGTTAGCTTTGGCGGTTTACAAAATGCCGACATTGATAAACTTACGTCTTAGTCCTCGGTTCTGCGATTCCACAATCATGTGTTCCGCTAAGGTGTGGACAGTTGCATCATGCACGTCGTGCGCCAAAACGAGGCTGTTGGAAGCTACACTCTGGGTAAATATGTTCATCGAAGCCTGGATATTTCCCTGGTTTGCCCAGTCGAGAGTATCTAGGTTCGAGTACATTACATGGTATGCAAGTGAATCCATAACGCCTAAACAAGCACTATTGCAATCAAAGTAAGGAGGGCGCATGTATCTACCGAGGTGTCAGCGGGATTACACAACCATGGAGGGATCCCCGGATGCTCCTACGTGGGATATCTCCCAATCGCGCTAGCGATTGCGCTCTCGAGGGAGGTCATTTGTGAGCTCATATCCGCGGTAGACAAAGAACTCAAGGAAGGATGCGACCATCTAATAAAAAGTTAGCCATTTAGCCACGGTCCAAGGGGGAGCTTATTTCCGGAAAGCTGCATACGTGTGAGAGGCAATCTGATGTCCCTCGCCAACCATTCTCCTAAGCAAGTCTTGTTTAGATCCGTCGGTAATCGGTGCTCCCCAATTTTGGCCACTTGGTTTATCCTTGTCAACAAATCTCTTAACAAGTCTTTTGATGAGGTATGAAAACTTACTTGACGAAGAAAGTCGCTTTGGCCCCGTACCGCCCGAGAAGATCCAACAACTCGGAGGTATAGCTATACAACTATCAGCGGGATGCAAGCCGACAATTTGAGAGCGGAGGATGACATACATGTGAGGCCCGTCATCAAATGTCAGGGCTACAACGCCTCCAGCGGTGCAACTTGATATTTCCGCCCCTAAGCAATGTCAGAGCCGTTACCCTCAAGCCTTTCCCCCCACTGCCCGAGAAGTGGCGGCAAACCGTAAGGAACACTTCCAGGCCTCGAACGTCCTCCAGAAGGAGGAGGGTCTCCGCCTCCACCACCTCCTCCTCCTCCTCCGCCTCCACCAGTACAACTCTATCCAACAAATCAGCTAAGAGCAGAGAGAATCAGTGGCTCGGACTGGATATACCCCATAGTTAGATTGGCAACCAGGTCCTATATCAGGTAAGCAGGCGAGACAAACATCAGGATCTCACGCAAGGGTCACATACCACAATACTCTGAGCTACCTCCGCACCATCCCCACTGAGAGCAGCACTGTATGGAGCCAGCTGGACAACGATAGCCATTCCCGTTGCCAGAGTTTTGAACACCACAGGTACCATCGGGGGTAGTGGATTGTCTGGAAAAAATATTATTTGGCGGAATTGCTGTAGACCCGACGAGTGCGCCGAAGTGAGTGCACAGCCATAGCAGACCGATGGAAGAAATTGGGGAAATCATTGTAGCAAGCGTGTATGAGAGATGTTAATGGGAACGAAAGGGACGAGGGGAGGTGAGAGGGAAAAGGCGGACAAGAGGCTTGATAAAGAGAAGCCTGGCCCTGTCCCGGTGCAGGCCTTGAGCTCACCTTTTAAGGAACCACGCGAGCAGCCCTGGCCAGAGGTGTGACCACTATCATCCTCTCCGGCTCTATGAGGCAATCTGAGTGTAACCTGAAAATCCGAATATTGAGTTCAAACTTCTCCCTTGGCAGACGGGACGCTTCAGTCACTAGAAAGGTCGAACCTGAGGGCATAACGGACGGGACGATTTCGGGGATGTGTACGTTGGATGTATGGTACTGACCGGTTGGGGCAGGGGAGAAGCCAGACTAGCGGCACCCTCTCCACAGTACCAGTTACGGACATTGGAGGGTGAGGGGGGAGGGTCGGGCGTTTTGAAAAAATGACCGGGTCCAAAGAAAGAAAGTGCGATCCCAATATTACCATACTCCGAGAAGAAATATTGGCGATCGAAACAATTGAACCCGGGGCGGGTATAATATACGCTAAGTCTCGTACTATATCAAGCACCGGAATAACGCCATTGGTTAAACAGACATTCGGCGAGCAATTGATTACAATAAGGGTTCAGCTAAGCTACTACCAGGACCAACCATTGTCGTACGGGCTACCAAATGCTCTACCTTCTTGGCAAGTAATTTTTGACTCATCTCTCCCGACACCAAGGTACGAGTAGACATTAAGAAGTACGAGTACAGTACAAGCAGATTGACGGCTGGCCATCACACTTATACTCGTACTGCACGCTATGCTGCGTTTGTGCAACACTATGTGGGTCCCCAAGTTGGGCAAAGCATGCCCTTTTCAGAGAGAAATACAGCTTTGCGAGCCAGCTCCCCAACCCCGCGGGCAAGCCGGGTAGATCTTGACCGTATCATCCCTGAGTCCCTTCACCCCTGGAAAACAATTAGGATGCGCGAAGTCCCTTTTCCCGTTCAAGTGATCCATCTACCCTCGACAATATCCACCCTCGCCCATAACACAGCTTCCAGCACTAGTGCCGAAATGTCACTCTGAAGCACGATCAGCATTGGGAGTCTTCGAGGTAAATTGCGTTGGGGCGAGTCAAGTAACTCCAGAGCGGACTTCATGGCACAACACCTACCGCATCATAGGGTTGGGGTACAAGTATTGTGCTGGATACCGACTGGCACACCAACCTAGCCTATCGGGCCAAGGGAGAGGGCGGGAGAATAGTGATGACCGGTGGCTTCTGCACGCTGCCCTCCCAATTCAGTAAGTGTCGAAGTGCAAAGCGATCAATCTGGCTAAGCCCGTATTAGGTATCGAGTCGTTACGAGTATTGCTCCATACCGCCACCGCGATTGTACGAGTACTCGTGTACTCGAGTACGAATCAGTGCGAGTGAAATAATATTTTTTTCCCCTGCTACTTCGGAACACCCGGAGATTTGCATTTTCTACCAGCGGGTACGGTAGAGCTTGGTTAGCAGTGGAGTACCCCTACCCCCTTCCTTGAAAATATCCATGATAAACATCCCACAGCGTTACCCTACTCTGCAATATTCAATAGTATTCCGGTTTTACCGGGGTTCGGGTGGCAGGGCCTAACCACCCGAGGCCAACTTGTGCACAGCACTTGGGCGTTGTACAAAAACTTATAACCATCGAGTACGGGTACAACACGGTGTACTCGAGTACTCGTACATGGTGCTCGAGCAAGGGTGAACTGCTCATACAACTGATTTGGGAAAGCACACCTGTCGTGCGGAATCTCGCCGTGCGTAGCGATCGACTAGTGGCACTAGCGTGAGGTGATATGGGCATACAGTAGCTGATTTCTATTACCAAAAACCTTCATGGGTTCGCCAGGCGAAGCTTCCCCAGAGGGGGTTAGTGCAGTGCAGTACCCCGACTCTGATAAACAACCAGACTGCACGGATAATGCCGGTACATGGAAAATACATCGGAGGATCTGAGCTCGGGAATCCGTTGATTGGGGACTGACCTGGGTCCTAACAGTGCTCATATTATAGGAAGTACGGTACTTCACAGTACTTGTGACGAGAGATAAGACCTCCTCGAGATATCAATGATAGGCAACAAGTACAGTACCCCGCCAGGCAGCCCAGCAACCTTATCGATAGTCAGCTGTGGAAAAAAAAAAAAAAGAGAGAGAGAGACATGGTGGGCACGGCTGGCGCAACTCTAGAGCGTTCCCAACAGTAGAGGTGTTACTTTTTTTAGAAATTTTGAATGGGTGGGGACTCTGTTTCACTCGCGTTGTTAGCGAAAAAAGTGGGGTCCTACGGTCGCACAATCGAGTAACTCTGAGCACCGGACGTCACTCGGCATCTGTGTCTTCCGCCGGCTTCCGCCTCGAGTACCGTACCCATCCCAAACCTGAGAGGCAAGGTGGAATCCTGTGGCCAAGATACCAATCATATTGGCCGAGCCTCCCTTCCTCTTTGGGTGTTAATAATAATGTGATACCTTAGCACCATATACTATTTTTAACACCATAACACCTACGCATCATTTGGAGTTACACAAGCGTTGGGCACAAGTCAGTACCCTCCTTCAATACGCCCCCCATAATCCAAACACTCTGCATAGGGTGCAAAAGGAACTGCAAAGGATAGATCACATATCCTAGCTTCCCCGCAACGATAGCAAAAAAGAAAGCCAGCACCAGGATCTAGTACGGGTGGGGGGAATACCTGGCCCGTAGGTCACCTTCTCTGCGGTTTTGGGTCTGATGAGTCCGAGGATACCCGGAATACTGTGTGGGATCGCAAGCCATGAGTGGGCACTTGGGTCCAAGACTAGAAGTGGGGATTGGAATGCCTAAGTGGGAGACTTGCGCTTGTACTCGAGTACAAGTCCTTGTCTTTTTTTCTTTTTTTTAAAAAAAAATATCTTGGCGATGGGCTGAATAAATGGCTGGGGCAGTCAGTTATAAGTACAAGTACGAGTACTTCTGCATGACAAGCTTGAAGGCCGGCCTCGTGTGGTGTTGAAGATTATAGTTGAACTGCTCGATGGGTCAAAAACAGCCGAGAATAGGCTTTGGGGCTTCAATGATACCGTGGGGGCTCTCGGAATCTGCAGTCAGATTATTGGAGGAAAAGGGACACTAATCCTTCTCGGGGTCCTTGGTATCTGAATGCGGAGAACGGAGACCCGCCACTGAGAGAGAAATACAAGTACCGTACCGTACTAGTACAAGAGGACTTACGGTGGCTGAAATTTATTGACAGAGTGGCTCATGGGGTTCACCACATCCTGAAGTGCTGCGGGCCGCTTAACTCGGGAGACGCAGCTTTTGCGGTGACGTGGAGCTGCATTGGGAGCTGCATTGGGAGCTGCATTGGGAGCAGGGATTCAGAAGTACCGGTACCAGTACTTGTACTCGAGTACAGTAAGAATCTACAGTACTAATCACTTCTCACAAACAAATGACGCCCCGCCGAGCCAACCTATTGATTTGCTGGCCCCGCCGCAAGTAGCGTATTTGTACTATTACCGTACCGTACTGCGTCATATGAATACGGTACTCGAGTACCGGCACCAGTACATGTACAGCCTCAAATACAGCCTCAAAGGGGGGGTGAGGAAGCGGGGTCCCTGGCGGGTGAAAGAAGTGAATTCGTTAAGGGAATGTACTCGAGTACGAGTACCGGTACGGTACTGGACGAGTCCTGTGCTGGTACTATTACAGGTATCATCCTTGTGCTCGTACGGCAGGGTAACAAGAGTGATGCCACTGATCCCTGCTCGTCACCCCTGCCCGGTTTTCGTGGTGCCCCCCCCAGTAGAAGGCTGCATCACGCACTGTCAACTTCACACAATCCTTGTAGTGGTACAAGTACGAGTACGAGTGCTAGGCCACCGAGTTAACTCGTCTTGTATCCCCACTCCCGAACCGGAGCACTCCTTCTCGCTTCAGCTCAGAGACGTCAAGACTGGCCTCGCAATCTCAGCAGTGGATAATCCCCGTGCAAGAAAGTACTAGAGGGTACCCCCCCCAATAGAGTCCCCCCCCAATAGAGTCAGTGAACGGTTAATCCACGGTAAGTTGATCCCCAAAAGAAGCCCTATCCTGTGTGTGAACACCATTTCCGCCGGCAGATGTACGAGTACAAGTACTGGTACCGTGCTCTAAAATGAATCGTATTAATATCCGCTCCCCTTAACCCTGAATCGTGCCCCGGTCAGGCCAGTCCTGGCATTTCCGATCGTTTCCAATCTCGAGACACGGCTTGAATTTGTCCATTCAGTGCGATCTGGAAGGCCCGCGATATTATTGCTTTGTACTCGAGGATGTGTCGATTCCTGAATCCGCTAGTCAGCCCCTATGGACCCCCTGTCAGGCCTCACTTGCTTGACCCGATTGACTCTTCGGTAGCAGCTTTGCCCACGCCGGTACAAATGCCGGCGGAGACGTTTTCGTAAGGTACCGTACAAGACAAGGATTGTTTTGCAGGTTAACCTAAATTAACTGTTCCACTCGGAGGTGCACCGTAGAAACCGGAAAAACTGTACTTACCTCGCCCTGCGGAGCGCAGAACACTTCTTGGATGAAGGGACATTCAGCCCTTGGCTGGGACAAATGGATGAAAAGAATACTGTACGAGTAAATTTACATCAAACCTTGCTCGTGCTGCTCGGCACACTTTCGATTGGTCCGGATATGAACAGAATAAGCTTTTGGGGTGCGGTGCTGTATCTGGTCCCGGGAACGATTCTCGTGCTACAGTCACACCCCGTTGTCCCGGACCTCGCTCCTCCGGATTCTTCGCTGCCCCGGATGAGTTTCTATGAATTATAAATTTCTTCACACCAAAACCAAACCTGTTGTCCCGGATAACTCGCTGTCCCGGACGGATTCTCAGGATTTTGGCCGTCCGGGACAACGGGGTGCGACTGTATTCCTCAGATGTCATGTGGTTGAGGAATTGATTGTGTGCTCGGGTGGGCCAGCTGCAATCAGAAAACTACCGGTATTTCTCCCGGCCCCATACATATATATATCCCTGCGAGCAGCACCCGGGTAAGGATGAAGAAAGCCGGGAGGCCTGGGGTGGAAAGTAACACAGGGCTCTACTCGAGTACTCGAGTACTTGTACCGGTAGAGTGTGGATCAGAAACCCAGAGCGGTTGCATG